GAGGAAGGTCGTGGAAACACGCCTGATGCTGTAATACCAGACCTTCTAGGTAATAAATTTACTTTTCTCCTTCGTGTTAAAAAAACGAAAAAGGAAGCGTTCTAGATTTTAACGCCGTGATCACTACTGTACCATTTTAATGCATTAAGAACAAAGTCCTTAAACGATTCATAAACGAATTCAGAATCACGCCTCTAGAAAAATGTTTGCAATTGGTTTTAATCACCATTACGTTCCACGTCAACTAAAGTGCATATTTCAAACAGATCTAAGATATCCCATTTACATTCATAAAGGTTAAGTATGTTTTACTTTATCCTTTATCCATTATTCCACCCCCCTCACCCCCCTTTCCCATTTCCACATTTCTAAAGATTAAACAAAAAGCCGCTTCCTTAGCAAAGCTGTGTGTTTCGGGACTCTCCGTCAGCACAGGTCTGCTCCTAGACTCCAGGCTGGGAGAACTGGTTTATTACAATACGCTTGCTCGGCTGCATCGTTCTCCTTTAGAAAACCACATTTTATTCCTGGAATAAAAAGGAGGATTGGTAGCCATACATTAAATGTGTCGGACCATCTCCGAGGTGCACAGAACCCAGCAGCATTTCAGATCTTACAGCAGGACAAGTACCAGCATTCTCCCTAATAAAAAAATCCTGACCATGAAGAGTACAGAAGCACACAGATAACTAAAGGTTCTTTTTATTACTGTGTATCTACGGGGAGAGAAGGAAGCAGAGCTCGTGGACAGGACCACCACGCTCCCATCAAAACACAGCTACCCTGGCAGGCACGCAGAGGGGAAACAGCGAGCAAGGTCACAGTCGCAGGTGTCACCGAAAGCACTTTTCAAAAGAAACTGGTCAGCAGAGCTCCTACGCACTTCTTAAGAGACTATTTATGGGAGCAGAAGTTGTTCTTAATTCTGCGAGAAGCAGCAGCAGAGGTCACGATTCCGGCTTCACCGGCTCTGACAGCCGAACATCCCTGGCAGCGTGAACAGGTGTCATCAGTATTTTCAAAAAAATCTATTTTAATGACATAGGAACTATCATTTCGGAGCAAAGTCCTGCTGGGCCCAGTCTGTCGTCAGCTGCAGCCGCACCAGACGCTGCTGAAGGAAGTGAAGAAATCCTGTGACAGAAGACTGCTCCGCTCTGACCCGCCTCAACTTCTTCCCAGCTCCAGTCATTTTATAGCAGTTTCATTCTGAATCACGAGTTTACGCCTTCGTTTTGGGACAGCGTGCTAAAACCCCACAAGTCAGCGAGTTAATGAGTTGCCGGGACCTAACCAGGCCTGCCACACCACACCTCCGGCAACTGTCAGACGCACGGGGAACAACTTCAAAGGCCCAGCAGACCTTACGCTCTCCCTGTGAGCGAGGGCTGCTCCCTTCTCCAGCCTCCCGGTGGAAAGGTGAGCCCAGCAAGAGCTGACTGACTTGCCTTATATGGCTTCCAAGGCACAATTTCCGCTTGCCCAAGCTCAGGCAGGGTGGAAAAATTTGCTTCCTCGCTACTCCGCCCATGCCGGGCTCTGAAAAGCATCCACCGAATCCTGGATGTGAAAAGAATGGAAGAATTTACACTCAAGTTTGCACGGAGCTCAGCTCCCTGGAAGAGGCGAAGCCACGGTTTTGGCAACAAGCTGGATCACCTCAAACGCCAGGGGAGAAACGGGAGCCGAAGAGCCGATGCGCAGGCAGAGATGCATAGAAAAGTTGTAACCACAGCCTTTATTCTTTGCATGCCATACGACCAATTTTTCTTGCTATTCAGATGCACTTAAGCCTTCTAAATTTCATGGCAGCAAGCTTTACAAGTAAATTATGAGTTGGGAACATTATTTCCTTTCGCCGACTTATCCATAACACACTTTACTATTTACCAGGAGCTTTGTTTTCAGAATCAAATGAATAAAGTCTCAGCTCAGGTTTATGCACTATTTTCTGCACGAGTCAGTACTTCTCCGGCAGTTCCTGTTAACGTTACCGAAGCCTGTCCTACCCTCTGGTCACAGCAAGGTTACTGTAATCCAGGTCCATGTCATTATCAACTTCTCTGAGCATCACAGAGAAACTCTCAGACTCACCCAACACGGACCAGTCCTCCCGTTCACTGAATGTGAACACGGTCACGTCCATAGTCCTCAATCTCTGCAAGTGCAAGAAAGCTGCTGGCTAAAAATGAAGCACAGTAGACGCAGCCAACGAAAAGGCTGCTTCACTCTCAACAAATGCACTTACTTAGAGGATTATCGAGTTTTTTTTATTTCTAAAAACGTGTGCATGTTCACTTTTTTTTAGCCTTGACCGCCTATATCAAGATCATACCTTTTTTCACAGCACGTTTTTCTCAGCGCAAGAACCAGGGAGAGATTTATCTCCAGCCATCAGTGGTTTTGTCTTTGCTTTCGTCTGCTAGTCACCAAATGGCAGAACCCGGCTCATCCACGCACAGATTCTCTCAGAAGAGAGAAAAATGGTGGCAAAGGAGCTTAAAAAACTAAGTTCTGCCAATTCCCTTGTTGCGTTCTTTTGGGGGACTGGGAAAGACAGAAACACAGCCCGTTTGATTTTCTCATAGAAACCGGGAGCCAAAAACAACTGAAATCAGCGCCGGAGCTGGAAAGGTACAACAAAACTCACACAAACATAAAGTCTAGACACTGAAATGTGGAAATATGATTCAAATAACCACAACTGGCACATAATGTATTGATTGCAGCCCATCACAGAACAAGCCCTCACTGGGTAAGAATATAGAAGAAAGATTAAATTAGCGTCTTCCACCTCGGTTTTAGAAAATATGGATCCTTTGGGCACAGCAATATGGATTGAGCTAGCGTTTCTTCCTGTCCTGCCAGGCTTTTTGCGAGGCTTTTAAGCAACACATTCGCTCTTGCTAAAGAAGGACAATTAGCTTAAACTCTCCTCGCAGCACCGATCCTGTATGAACGAAGCTGCCACGGGTGTCAGGTGGCTGCTCTTATCAAAGCATGGCTATCAGCTAAGCTACGTGGATCTCAAAATACTTGAGCCAAGTAGTCAAGAGGATGTTTGTACTGATGAAATCCAAATATACAAGGTTTAGGCGACTACCTGTTCTTCAGAAGTTTCGCAGTACTTGCTAAACCTCATCACATGCGGACACGATCCTAAAGCAGAAAGTCAGCGTCTACCATTAAACCCGACGGTGTGGTCAGGAACGGCGACCGAAGCCAACAGCCCAACTCAAGCCTTCGCTCGCGGTGCAACGCACAGATCGTCCTACGAGGTGTTTGCTCCAGCCTTCTCCCCGCGATGACCTGCTTTCCTGCAGAGCAGCGTGCCCCAGGACCATGCCCAGAGCCTCCCCGCATGGTTGCAGGTTCTGCATACGAGACGAAAGATTAACTGGTGGTGGCAGCTGGCCTGAAGAGACTCTGAAGGAAAGTAAAACAACTTGGTTTTCCATGAGCGCCTTGGGCTAAAGTATTCTCCCCTGTGTACCAAAAGCCAAGAACAGCTCTGCCGCACAGGGGGAGCGCAGAGGGTTAACAGCAGTCAGACTGCACCAGATCAGGGAAGACTCAAGGTGGGTGGAGGTGGGCAGTTAAGTAAAGCCACACTCACAAGCGGTGACCTCTTTTTGAGTTAAAACAAATGCTGGTTTCTTTAAATTAAAAAAGGCACTAGTCCAATGTAAAGAAAGGAGAGACCAAGCGCACGGAGCAGTGTTTTTTCTAGACTGCCTTTTCGCTGGAGCAATGCAAAAAGGATTGGATTTTGGAAGTCTGCTTTCCCCGCGCAGCAGCGATACACACTACCACTCTGCAAACCAACTGCTGAGGGCTTTATCGCGCCCTTTATTATATAAATTCTTTGGAAAAAAAAAACCCAAACCCTAGTGAAAAGGCAATACTAGGTTACCATGGTGTGCAAAAGTTGCCTTATGTACATGGGATGTTTCTAAGCAACACATGAGCTACCACTGTAGAAAACTCTTCTTATCAGCAAATCCAAGCTCCTTTCCTGGATAATGCATCTAGGTCAAGCTAGGGCACGTTGAATGCAGAAGCCTAGTTTTGGTGATGTCTCTTCTGTACAAAATATTAGCATAGTTCAGGTTATCAGGCTTCTTTTTTCATTAGCATTAAGTTCACTCCACATAATGGCTCCTCCAGAAACAGCATTAACCTTAATTATTCGGAGGTAACTTGATCTCAACCTTCAGCCATGCAGATGATGACTTTTCCCCCTCTTAACTTCTCCTCTAGTTCCTCAAAACCCAAATGAAGCCAGTGTATGATATGGCCGTGTCCACAAATTAGGGTATTTGGTACAGGATCCCAGACATATGGTATCTCTTCAAAGTCTACCTAAACCCGTGCGGCCACTCCATCCATTCAAATGCATTCTCTTGTGCATTAGCAGCAAAACCACTAAGTCAGCCAAAATGTATTCTTCTCCCATGGATTAGCTGGCACAAATTAGTACGAGAGTGACGCATGCAGTCTGTCCCTTCCCATTTTTCAACATGCACAAACACCAGGGATTTGGAGACGCTTCACAAGTTTACGCTTACAAGTTACAGGCAGAACCGAGTTAAAATTGTTTGAAATGCGCAAATTGTTTAGGAGATAACACGTTCATTTACTAAGGAGACCTCAAATGCTTTTTCAAACAAAACTTCCCCTCCCTCGCCAGTAATAAAGGCTCTGCTGCTATCCCAACAGAGTCTGCACTATGCAAGTGAACTATTTCAACAGTCACCATCCCTCTGCCAAGCAGCGCTATGACAAAAACTAACTAAACAGGACAGAGCACTTCATATGGGTTCAGAAAAAAAATAACAACCAACAACACACCACCCTGATGTCGCAGGATGGCCCGTAGACTCCCAGCGAGCGCAGAAGCCACGCGAGGCAGGACCTGCCGCAGCCCAGGTGAGGTCCCTGGGAGACAGACCGCTGTGAAGAGACTCCTCTGCACGCCGCGTTTCATCAGATGCGCTTCAGACAGAAGTAAAACGAGAAATTTATAACAGCTTTCCTTTCTCCCTTTGCTGCTGGTTAAGTGGAATAGGAAACCAACCATAGAATGTGCTGCAAAGGAGCGAGGGTTTAGTCTTGCTGGGTAACGAATACAATCGCCAGGATCCAGCTGCTAGAGCCATTGATATCAGGGCCAAAAACACTCCACTTGCATACCTTAAAAAAAATAAATAAAAATCCAGTCTCATAAAAATCTAAGGGGTTAATTTTCAAGCTTGCTTCCCCCGGTATTGCTAGAGAGCAAAAAGTTATTAATGCCCAAATTCAACTTCTCTGATTAATGGTGTCGTATGATTTGCTGATAAAAAGCAGATCACGTTTGGGAAAGAAAAAAAAAAAAAAGCAGCACTGTCGGTCACAAGGATTCTGTCACAAACTTTCTATTTTTCCTTGGCATGTCACCAATTAGACCTACTTCTGCAGTCTGCTACCACCAGTATAAAAAAAAAAGCATAATGGGTTTATAATTTGCCACCGAATCCCATAGCAACTGTACGTCACTTTAGATGTAAATTACAGACAATTCTTTCCCATGCAATTTGAAAACTATAGAGATGAATCTATAATTTGAGCAGATCCAAATGGTATATGGTTGAGAGAAAAAGCTACCCTAAATAATTGAAAGGAAACTGCCACAGGCCAAAACATTCCTCATGCACAAGGTTAAATGTCTCTTTGTCCCCTTTCCTTCGAATGGGAGGTGCCACACTCAGGTCAACATTAAGAACATTTAGCAGGAGTTTAGCAGTTCGGTATGTTCTGCATATCCTGTCCCATTTTTGCTGATTGGGAGGAGATGTACGTGTACAATGAGTTTCCTTTCCAGCCAGCCGCCTCTGATTCATTTAGTCATGTCACCGACTCATGTTCCCGATGTCGTAATAGCTTCAATTTTGACGGACTACAGCATCAGTGAATTAACAGGACAGGAAAAAACAGGTTACAGGAAAGGAGGAATGATGCAAAAAGCCTTAAGATAATTCAATGAATTTTGATTCGAAAGCCGGATTGTTCTTCTCCTCCTGACACCTGCAAACAGCTTTCAATTCCCAAGTCAGCATGAATACGCATTACCCTAAAGACCCTGTAATGACAGCAGGAGCCTTCATTTTGTATTTTGGGCTTTAAACACAGCAAGATGAAGGCATCTGTAACAACATCCTCTGAAAGCAAAGTCTGAAAAAGTTCTTTCAATAAGCGGTGACTACAAGGGGTGGGTTCAACCCCAACCTTTGAGAAATACCTTCTGTCACGGTCGGTTTAAGAAGAGCACAGAAGGCATGGGGAAGATGACTTGGGAAGCCACATCTGTCGGACCACAGTTCCAAAACTCAGTTCAGCCGGCAGAGCACTGGGGCAATGTGCTTCGGTTATCTCAGCTTAGCCCCCAATAAATATTTGTGCACCTGCCAAAGTTCACCAGTGAATCAACCAGTGGCTTCGGTTCAAAATAATCCGTGTAGCAGGGACAGAGAGGTACAACGGGAGCAGGAGGGACTGTTCGGCTGCTGCATCACGGGCCAACCCGAGCAGGGATGCTCCCACTCTCTTTACATCCTCCCAAAATCAGGAGGCTCCCATGCGAGCCCGGATGAGGGCCGGCAGCCCGGTCCAGCCTGGCCTCCATCGGCTATGGTTAGGTCAACACAAAAGCTGCAAATTATAGAGAAAGGTGTGCAACTGCAGTCACGTCACTCGTTATCAAAAGACGATCCATCACGCAAGCTCCCCAGTACCGCTCCTCAAGCCACAAAGAGAGTTTTCAAATAAATACGTGAAAGTCGGGAAATTCCCAGGTAAGGGTTCCAGGAACAGCCCTAACGCTGTTTACATGCCATCGGCACCTACACCGCAGCAGTGAGATATACCTACTGCCAAGAAACATTTGGGTCTGCCGCGCAGCATTTTAAATGGTGCATTAAGATTGCCACTTACCCAGAAACACCCATGATGCTGCTAAAAAAATGGGTAGGAAAAGCAAAGGATGAATGCCATGGATGTCTAGGTGTTTTAGGCGAGGATAGATACAACATCTCATCACCAAGTGGGGAGGATGGGGTCCAGGATAAAGCACGAAAGAGGAAAAACAGGGCAGGGGCACGAGGAGGTCCCTCATACCTC